ATATACGTCTCGCTTTTTTACAGACGTGACATGTTCTTTCTCAGAAATGAAATTCCCTGATTTTTGCAGTCGGACCAAAAGATTAATTCTAATTTTTGCGATCACGAGAGTACTTGATTTAGTTGATGTACGTGCGCACTTATCCTCTCGTAACTCGCATTCGCGGGAATTCACAGCATAGAGACGTACGGTGATGCGTCGCTTCGACAATTTGTGAAAATTTCGAGCACCTTGTGACACCTGTGAATTGCATTCCGCAGATGCGGCCATTTACATAACAATAAGCGGCGGAAATAGCGACGCTCGATCGGCCAAGGGTGGAAAGTCAAAGCAGCCGCTCGTTAATGCCGTTGATTGCTTCAGCGAACTGGCAGTTTGGCGCGTAATTTCAGCCGCATAATTCGTCGATCCGACGGGGGGGNTGTAATTAGCGGCTCGCATTGGCGAGTGTTTCGCGCTAAATTAGCTATTTCGTTCAAACCGTCGTCGGTCGCGACTCGTCGGAAGCAGCGTTCTCTTTTCTCCCTCTATTTCCCTGTCGTCGTTGGAGGGAAGCCGGCTACTGTTCTCGCAAAGCGCGACCACATGAAACGATTAATCGGTGGATTTCTAATTTCGACGACGGCGGCGGATCTTTTCGGCGGACACGCCACCGGGATACCTGTTGCCGGTTTATCCGGGGAGAAACTGGGAACGCTCTCTAAAATGACGCTTCTTACGTGCGCGAAGGACAGATTGAAGAGGGGGAGGGGGAGGAGAGCGTTGCTCTTTCGGATCGGCCGGGGAAACGCGTGCGGACAACAAATCGAGAAGTAGAATTGCGATGGAATCGAGTGCACTGATCGACCAAGTCAACGGATGACTTCGTTTCGACAGGGTTCGGATCCTGAGGCTTGACGAGACCCACCTCAAACCGCCATTGATTCACACCGTATTCCTCAGACATAGCTTGACTCTCTCCTCGATTGTGATGAACGAACGAAGAATCGGCGTGGTAGTTAACGTCGCATGCCTTCACGCTAATTAAGGGCCGATCCGAAACTCGCTTATCGCGCGACGAATCGGCTGGGCGAAGTCGAAGCGTTCGCGCTCATTTGAAACTAATTTTCTCGCGCGTAGTTTCCCGCGCCACTAGCTCTTACTAATTAAGGGATGGTGGAAACTTCTTAGCGATTCCGGCTTCCGGGAGATCGTGGATGATTGTTTTACCCCTCCCTCTCTCTCTCTCCTTCTCTCTCACATACACACTCTCTTTCTATATGTACGTCTCTTTCCCTTTCTTTCAGCAAGCAGAGCTCGTTAACAACCTGATGTAATTCTCGACGACACTTTCGGTCGCTGAAGAAAGCAACGGGTGGCTGAATGGCCCCGAAAAAGAGCGGAAAAGGGCGCTTCGCGGGGAACGGAACAACGCCTAAACGAATTCGTGCTCAGCGCCGTTGGCTCTCGTGGGGGTTTGTTTTAAGATGCATCGCGCGACGCATTTATCCCAGCCACGGACTTTAATTAAACTTTCTTTCCCGAGGGAAAGTACGTAGTAGCAACAGGGGCTGCTTCCCCGCGTGTGTTGGGGCGTGTGTGTGTGTGTGTACGTGTGTGTATGCGCATGTCCGTGTATACTTGATGCGTTCGTGTGCGGCTCCTCTTTTTTCCTCTTCTTCTTCCTCTCGTCGAACAACAGGGGCGACCGGCTTCTGAAAACCGATCGATTTGCGACTCGATTTTCCTCTCCCGCGGAACGATATTTTATTACGGTCCGCCGCGCTAACTTTAATTAAGCCGGAGTGTACCTAATCAAATCCCTCTTCTTCTTCTCCTTGAGCCGCATCTTGTGCGCGGTGTGTCACGTACGTGTAAAGTCGTCGACTCGCGTCCCGCTCGTGTCTCACCTGTTAGCGGTAATCTAGGATGACGCGTGTAGCTCAGAGCAGCGTCGCAGTTGGACGCAGAAGTTTGCGCTTTGATATACGCGTCGAGTCGAGTGCATTTCGTGGCCGGGAATCTGCGAGGCAGCCAATCGTTCGGCGATAGAAATGAGTCTCTCCGACGAGGACGTACTCACGGTGAACGATTTCTACGCGACGACTTCCCACGTCGCTCGTCCGTATCGACGTGCGACGTGTTATTCGATATCGCGAATTGATTCCGGACTTCTGCAATTCTTTCTTAAGCGAGGAAAACGTAGGCCCTCGCTCGCCGTAGGATCGTCAGGATTATACGTTTTCACGTCGACACTGCGCGTGTTACGAGACTTATATGTAACTTAGATAAAACAGTACAAAACAACGATTTCATCCTCAAACTCGGAAGGATCGAGCTGTGTCGGTGTTGTGCAACAGGCTACTAATAACGAACGTTTGTACATCGAGCACGTCTTTCGTTGGGTCAAAAACAAAGACGAGTCACACACCAAATTTACGTTGTTTACGATATCGTGAGCGGTTGGCACGCCGTTCATCTGGTGAGAATCAACAGAGTCAGGTAAACATGTGTGTGTGTGTGTGTACATATGGGACACTTAGACGGAAAACGAGATAGAACAATACGTATATATAAGACATATCTTCGTTCTACGAGGACAGATATCTCCAAGCTTGGGACGTCGTAACGGTCAAGAACGTTCAAGAAAGTCGGGAGACAAATTCACTGTACATGAACATCGCGGGGCGAGGGAAGGGGGCGGCAAACCATTGAAGGACATGACGCAGAAATCCAAGTAACTAATTCGGCACGCAAGAATCAAAGATGTGAGTGTCTTCGTGACGAGTCGCATTTGCATGTGGTAAGTTCGGCCGACACACGCTTGTCCAAAGTCGTTCGGGATCTGCGCCGGAAGTGTGGAAATTACTTTTACGGCGATGCAACGTGAAGAGCCACTTGCGACCGTAAACCTAATTCGTAATCGATTTTATTATCCTCCGCTGACGTGGCGACGGGACACGGCTCGTTTCTCGGATTTTACTTCTGACAGTCACATCTTTACTACTTGCCACCTCGGCGTAACGATCACCATCGATGCAAGTGTAAAAATAAAATTGTACATAAAAGTCCTGAACACATCCTGTCTCCTGTGTCGTTGTTCACGAATGAGCGCGCCGGCTGGCCGCGTACCAGTATAATCGAATCGCGAACAGCTCGCCGTTTCCGATAGCGTCTTGTAAACACATCCTCAGCCACTTCGCTTTTATGACGCCGCCGAACGATCCATTCAAAACGATAATTGCGACGATCTAAATATCGCGACGCGAGATTCAATCTGCTTACGCTCCGACGTGAGATGAGAAACGGTCCAGGTCTCGAGAGACGAAGCATTATTCTTCCTCTTTTCTCTCTCTCTCTCTCTCTCTCTCTCTCTCGCGTTCTCGCTCCTTATTATATCCCGATTAAACCGAGCGAGCTACTTATATCACTAATCGGAGCGTTTTACACTTTCGCTAGTGATGCGGAAATTTCGTTTCCTCGCTCCTCGGAAGAACAAAAAAAGGAACGCTCGCGACATTTCCCGGCGAGGCGGTGAGGCACGCGCGAGATCTCGTTTATCGCGAGACCGGATTTTCTCGACGAGTTGTATTGTTGTTTTCTTTTGTTAAAAAGTTAGACAAGACGATCTGCCGACGCGACCGGCCACGGAAAATTTCGTTCAACGCGCGCCGGCAATCCGGCCGGAGATCATCGGCGTCCTACGACGTTCTTCATTTCGCCCTTGCGTCGTCGAGGGAGACGGCCGCTAAAATGCGATAACCGGTGGTGGGATTTCGAGGCTCTTAGCGTTGATCCGCGACATCCTCCTGCAGCGCGAGGTACACGCGCGTGTATACACTCCGGGAATCGCCGTGACAGAAAGCCAGCCGGCCCGTCTTCTTCGTCCGGCGGTCCTCGAGGAGGAGGAGGAGGAAAAGTGTCGCCGTGCCGGGATCGAAATGAAGCGGGATTGCCCGGCACGTAATCGCGAAACTTTAACAATCTCGCCGGGCAAATAATTCTCACGGAGGGGCGTAAGAATTGACGATTCCAACTTTCCGCTCGGCTGCCAGCAGCAGTCCCCGCGTCTTCATAAGACGTACCACCTCCTCCTCGTCCTCCTCGTGGACAGAGATAACGCGATCCCGTGAAATTAAGCGTAATCCTGGACCGAGGAGAAATTAAGGGTAGGATACGAGATAATAAGTCCCGCGGGAGAGGAAGCCGCGTGGGAGGGAGACAGGGAGAGCTATCGACTCCCGGGAAACGTATAATCCTGATTCCCGCGGCGACCTTTTATTTCCCGGCCATTTCTCGACTCGGGCGAACTCGAACGAGCTCTCTTTAGAAGCGATACGTTGCTCGAATACGACGGCTCTTTCGGGGGAAAAACGATCGCTCGGCTTGCCCGTCTCGACTTACTCTCGGCTCGCGAACCCGCTTCGGAGCGCTCATTATCCGAATACGACGGCACCGATTCACCTCGTCATCCTAGACCACCTTCGTCTTCGACCTCCCCCGCCTTACTACCTGTGTGTATGTGGTTACTTCGTTCGAGGTTTCTCGTAGGATTTGCGCAAAGGACAGGCGATAGGTCTGCGGGGCGCGCCGCGTTACACACCGTACGATTGTGGAAATCTCCACGCAGCCGTCAGACTTGACAATTTTACTCGGAAATTGTCCACAACCTGTACGCGCTTGACTACTCTGAAGCGTTTCGTCGACCGGCAACTTGGATCGAGAGCTTATCGAAAGAAATCCGTCGACTCCTTTCCAAATAATGCTTCATTCCGTTGTTTTCTTCCCGTGACTATTGTGATTACTTTTGGATGTTATCATTATTATGTTATCTGATATCAGCGATGCGATCCTCCGCATCGGGAAGCAAATGGAGCTGTAAACGCAAGCTCGGATCACGGCGCGCCTCGACTTTTCACGGATATATATATATACATATATATATATGTATGTATGTACAGACATCTTGTAAAAACACGCTTGCCAAATGCGAGTTACCGTTGCTTGACAGTCATAGGTACCTATTAAAGGGACAGCGTCCGAGGTCGTCGGCATGCTTTCTGCCACGAGGTTCAGGAAAACTGTCAGCGACAGCAGAATGGTCACTCCTACATGGACAGGTCGAAAAATCACACATCAACATTGCGCCACTCGCGTGCGAGGCCTAACCGGGGTTTCTCGTTTTTTTTTTTTTTTTTTTTTCTCGGAATGTGGGACGCACCTGGATTAGGTGCGGCGTTTGTTAGATTGCTGACTCGTCTAAATCGGGGTTCAATGAGGTCTCACGCGACGGAGTCGCGCGAAAGTGTTTCCGACTGTTTTTCTTTCCGTTTGTTTCTTTTTCCGCCAAGCAGTGCGGATCAGCTCGAGCCGCAGCTCGCGCGTCCGAACGCCGTTTTCGGGTCTCCGTGGTGATCACGGCGTTGCCCGGGGTTTCCCGGCAAATTCGGACTCGCGCGTATCGCGATCACAATCTGCCGGTCTGCGATCTACCGGCGCCCTAAGCTCGAAATGGTGCGCGACCTGCCGCCGAGAACGACTCGGCGAAATTGCGTCGCCGCATTTTCGATCATGCGGAGATACAGAGGATGATTCGATCTAGGATCCGGCGATGCTCGAACTTCCTATGACGCCTCTCCTCTAACGCGACGGGACGTTTCCGCCGTCTCTTTTGCGCGGCGGCTCCTCGTCGTGGCGCAGTGTGTCGCGAAACACATTCCGCTTGTCGATTCCGAGGAGAATGTCTTTCTAACCTTTTCTCCCTCTCTAAATTACATCGCGCCCTACTTCGGCCCCTTCCTCCCGTCTCCTTTTCTCTACTCACAAGTCACCACTCGGAGAATAACGTCGCGCGAGATATTCATGCGCGAGCGAAATCCCGCTGGAGGGGGTGGAAAGATTTGCAAAATAATGCGGCGAGCGAGAAGAATGAGGATGATCGCTCGTGGAATCTGGCGCATCAACGCCAAATGATTTATGTTGGGAGAGAACTCGCCGGCTACAACGTGATATTAATGACGACGACGACGGGAGGACGTCGGGAATGACGTGGTGGGATCCCAGCGCGCGACACCTTCGCGAATGATGCGGCCGCGCGAAGATATTCGCGAGAACTCAGTCGCGGAGCAGCCCGCGCGATGATCGAGCGGACACGAGCACCGTTTAAGTCGAGCATCGAAAAATCCCGTCCGGGTGGATTTTGTTACCTGCCCTCAGGCGGGATGTTCGCAGGGATTAGTCCGCAAAGTTCGGGACGTGTAACGGACCCCGTGCGGATGCTGTGCGAGGAGCCGCGGCATTAGCGACTTCGACGGAGCCGGCTAAGTCGCTCGACAACTCCATTACCGCGCAACAGCCTTCAAAGTGACCGGCGAAATTCGATTATCTTACTGCCGCTCTCGAGAATCGGGAACTTCTGCAGACGATTGATGACTCTCGCCGGACGAAACGAACGGTTTGACCGCGGCTGATTGAGGCGGCCAGATGCCAGACACGCCCGCACGGCCGCGGCTTCCGCGTCTCGCTGTGCGGATTTGTCAAGAGGCGAATAATTCGATTAAGAATCTAGTGTCGGGAACGAATGCTGATCGAAGGGCTGCGTGTTACTCTGTGCGGGGTGGTGGCGTAATGGAGGGACAAATGGAGGATGGTGTCGGTAACGGGCAGCGCGCGCGGCAGTGTGTTAAAACGCATTTCTACTTGTTTGGTGTAGTCAGTGCGTTTTGGCACACATTTGTTTTTTAGGAACACTTCGATTGGATTACTCGCAATCTCGCGTTCTCCCTCGGTGTTTATCGACCTTCCTTCGTTGCGATATTAACGCAGGTTTAAACGGAAATTTCGCTGAAATCTCACGAGTGACGCGGGGTGACTTCAAGCCGGGAATAGTGATCGACGACGTTCGCTTAAGATCGATCCTTCACTCGTCTCACGTAGAGCAGCCAACGCTTTTTTGCGTTTTAATTCATTTAGAAGCTCGTTTAAACGAGACGCGATAGCACGGGGTCAAATAAGCGTACCGTGTTTCGATGAGATCGACGGGGTTAAAACCGCGGCAAGGTGCATTCGCGGCGGGTGGCAAACCGCCAATAACATCGGGGAGGGTTGTCGGTCAGCGAGGGTAAGCGCGGAGCTTGAGGAAGGCTGACCAATTAATTCCTTGCTATTAGATCCAAACGTTCACCGGGCACGTGTACGGCGGACATATTTTTTTTCCAAAGGCATGATTTTCAATTAAATTCACGCGCGGGGAGCGCCGGTCGCACGATCCGTTTCGCCCAAGTATCGCGCATGATAGATTCAAGAATCAAGCTCGCCGACAAAAAAACGAGGGATAATGATTGATGGTAGCAATTATAAAACGGAAGATTAATCCGTACTTCCGAGTGAAGGAACTTTCCGGCAAATTTCTGGTGATTTTAATATTCTGAAAAATATATTGCTTCTTCCGAAAATTGTCGGCGCTTCTGAAACATTGTAAAGTGTATTAAATTTGGATCCTCTCTTGATGTAAATTTACGTGCCCAACGGTTTTCGATGATCTCGTTTCTCAAGTTTTCACGATCGTTGACACATTGCGTGAATCTTGATCTTGCGAAAGCCGCCGTACACCGAGTCTTCCTCAAGTCCGCCAACGACTATTTTATTCCCTTTACGCACCCAAAAAACGTATTCGTTAAATCAGCAACCGTGAATCACGTCTGTATATTTATGCGAAACGGCGTGCTATGCTTGGTTACGTATAGGAAATGCTCAGCCGTGCGGATTCTGGGAAAACAAGAGTGTCTGCCAAGGATCCCTCCGATCGATATTCCGACGGAGGAAAAACAGTGATAAATTTTGGACGCAATGATTTAAGTGGATATACGAGCGTTTTGTAACCGGCATAGCGTGGCGTAGCGACAGTTTTTTCCTTCCATCTCCCGCGGTGCAATTTCCGCTGCATGTATTCATACATGCAGCATTACGTATACCTGCGTCTTTTGCCTAAATAGGCAACACAGAATTTTAATACGAAGTACGGATTTGCATACGAAAGGAAATCCCATGAAAACGCCAGCCTAGTTTCTTCCCTGCTCTCGAAGAGAGAAAACGTCGACGGGATATTGGATTAAACACTCGTAATTCTCCACTATAACACTCCGCGCACTTCCCAATTACTTTTCTTAATTTTTTCACCTGATCTTCAAAGTCAAGTAAAAACATTTGTCCCCGAGTTACGAAATGAATATCTTCGTGTGAACTTTCGCGCGTCAAACAACAAGTCTGCTACTTTCGTCGTTCGTTGCGCCTTAAGGGGGTTGTAGGTGGTCGTACTTTCAGTGGTGTATCAAGGGGGCTATTAAAAGTTGAATATTTATTGAGTAAAAGTACACTTATTTCACCATCCAAATAATAAATGTTAATTTGACATTTGAAACAAACTTGAGGTAAATATATATATGCAAAATTATAAGTACGAAAATATGATTTTGTATTTTTCTTCTCAATGCTATATTTATATGCATCGATTGATCTGATAAAGATGCACAGATAGTAGGAAAAGGTATATAAATGCATATGTACACGTATTTCGAGTATTATTGCGAATGATAAACTTTACACCGCTATATTTTCCAAATAAAATGAATAATTCCATAATTCTGAAATTTGTATATAATATTTATATATTACTTTTTAATATCAGTAGTTTTTCATCAAAGACTTATTTTTAATTAAGAAGAAATGAAAAAGAACATGCTAACCCCTAAAAGACTACTTATGAGAAGAATCGACTTTAGTTACCAATATCTCAGCTTTCGAACGGTCGATCTTTCTCAAATTGCACTAGCAGTTGGACAACACTAATGTATGTGCGATGCAAGTTTCGTTGAATTCTTACCAAACTCATTTCACCTTACAACCTCCTCTTAAATCGCACATCGAACGGGGCGAGGCCGGCCAAAGAACGCCCGAAATACCGGTAATCTCATTCGCATCTGATTTTTCTTGCGACACACGAGTCTCCCGCACGTGTTGCAACTCCGCCGCGGGATTCATGCAACCGTCTCTTAATGGAATTCCGCCCCTCGCGAAGCGATGCACGAAACGCGCACCTGTTCTCGAGCGGAGGCTAATGCCTTGCGGGAGCGGAATGCCGTGGCATCCACCCGGTGTCCGTTTCCACAGATGTTATTCCTCTCCCCGGGACAGGCTCCGCTGGTAGCGTTGGTATCGCGCGCTTATGCGTCGCGACGATAAATCATTTTGTCTTGCGGATCTCGCGAATTGTCGCGGTTACTGCAGTAAGACTGTGCGAATCGTCACGGTTACTGTAGGGAACGGCATGAATTGCACGGAAACCATGGCTGCCGACGCGTGAAAACGGTTATCGATCGCTCATTGAAGAGAAGAAGGATTAACACAGGGAGGTAAGACGCAGACACGGCGGTTGAGATGTTTCTTCGAGCGACAACTAATGTCGCGATCATCGAGGTTCAATTTGTCAGGGCACGTATTTTGGAATCGCTCGAAGTGGATTCCGATCGGAATTATTCAGTCATTCCCTAAATTTCTGTTTGCGTTTCTCGAAGGAAAAACGGAATTGTCTCGATCGACATTCATTCCGAATAGTTCGTAACACGCGCCCGGCTCTTGGAGTTTAGACTCTGAACAAAAAGTATCTACCACCCGGAACAAATGACGTTACATGTATGGTCAATCGCTATAAGGTTGCAACATTTTAATTTTTTATTAGTTTCGGAACACATCCTGTGTCTAATAGGAGAATTGTGGTTTTTCTTTTATCATTCTCAGGAGATACATTTTCCTGCTGATACGAGATGCGTTGCGAAACTGAAACTAAAAACAAAAATGTTACAATGTTTCTATGACGAGATATTAAGAATGGCTTTTCGTAATTGTTCGAGCTAACGCGCGCGTTTAATTGAGCTAATTAACTTTTTGCCTCACGATGAGTGACGTTTTATCTGTAATAGTCAGCTTTTAGCAGTGACAGCAAATAACGAATAGCCTTTTAGTTTCGAAGTTCGAATCAGCTAATGGCATTTAGTTGACAGTACTACGTGGCTTTATTGTGCGCCTGTCCGTTACTCTTCAATTCTCACAC